TATAAATTACAGCACTGCCTTTATGTAAGTGTGTAAAATCAAAATTATTTGCGAATCAGGTTACCTTTATTACAAGGTCCTTTTAGAGTATGATTTTAGCTGGATTTAAACATGCTTGTAAATAAGTGCCTATACTTAATGGTGTGTAGTCCAAGATACTCGTGGATTCCAGTCGACTACCTCTCCTCTTCCCACCCCTGCCTACCACCCTCCTCCTGAGAACGAGTCTTGCTGCGCTAAATGCCACTTCTAGCCAGAACTTCTAGGGAGTTGGCTGGGATGAGAAGTAGGAAATAGCCTACCTCCTGTTTTGCCAGTCTGGGTTTTACTCTTAAGCTGAGAGAAAAGGACAGCAGAGAGGCAGAGGAAGGGTTAAGGCTGCAAAATGCTGTGGGGTCTAAGAGAGAGTTCCAGTTCTGTGACAGCTATTTGGGCTTGTCTTCAAGTGTGGGAAGACCAGGCAGGACATGGAAGGAAGGAAGGGGGCTGAAGGGGTAGAACAAGAGGTGTTTTTCAAAGCCTCCTGCCTCAACCACCATAGATTCTGGCCTGATTAGAAAGGGCTTCAGACCCCTGTTGCTATGGTTTCTGGAAACAAGCTCATCTCCCAAGAGAACACTCAGCCTTCCTCTCTCCTTTGTTCTTGTTGGACTGTTGTGGACTAGGGTAGGAAAAGCAGGGCTCTGGAATCTACCCTGGGGGCAGCCTCCTGGGGAGACCAAGCCCCACAGAGTGAGGAGGCAGAGGGGCTGATTTAGGGCAGACAGGAAAGATCTGCTCCCAGATTAGGGTTAAAGAGCTGAGTGGCTTCAGCAGGTGAGAGTGTCTGGGATCCCAGAAATCTCCTGACTGCAGGAGCTGGAAAGTCTCCTGCTGCCTGGTTTTAGGCTCCCCTTACTTAGGCCAGGTTTCCCCAGGAGCTGAAGAACCCAAAGGAGTGGAGAGAGACAAGGCTTGCAGGTTGTGGTATCTGCCCAGCCCACAACCAGAGCTGGGGAGACTTTATTCATTTCAGGGGAAAAGTGAAGACAGGAATGAGATGAAGTGTGAAAGGCAAGGGGCAGTACTGATAAGAGGAGACAGGAAGAGGGTGGTCTACAAGTCTAATACAACATGGCAGCCAGACACAGGCTTACCAGAGGGCCGGTCCATCACTGCCAGGCCCCAGGGCCAGGCACGCCCAGGTCTCTTCTTTCCTCAGACTTGAAGAAAAAGGGACGTAAGACTTGGGAGCACCAAGAGGGGATGAGGGGTCAATACTGATGGCCTTGCCTCTAGCACCATGGCTGCCCTGCCTGGCCTGGGGAAGCTGGTCGGAGGCAGGGGCAGATTTGCCACAATTCCACACTCCTTCAGGGGACTGTCTGCTGCCCTTCACACTGGTTTTTCAGTTGGGAACAAGGGAAGAAGAACTTACAAATGAGCTCTGGGACAAAGAATGCCACTGATATGTTGGACCCCAGTGTGCAAATCTCAGCACTCAGAGACCAGAGAAATCACATAGAATGGGCCTGGAGACACACTGCTGCAGCTAAGCTAGAAAACAATCCAGGCAGGAAAACCAGACAGGTGCACGCAGGCCTCTGGGCACGCTACCAGCCAGAACTGGACTGAGTCCCAGAGCCAAGAGTCCCAGCTGGAAGGGATAGGGGCATGAAATGCTACTGAGAGGGTAGGAAACCAGAGGCCTTAACTTGGCTTTCTTCTCAAAAGCTTGGCTCCCTGGCTCCTCAGCTTTATCATGCAGTCCCCTGAGCCAGGGAGCTGCAGCTTTCCTAGCTGGGTACACCCTAGGAACGTGGGGTGTCTGGCACATGGGCGAAGGGAAGAGTGGTGTGTGGTGAGGCCATGGGAGGGAGAGGCCTGGCAGGTGGGATGGGAAGAGACTCTAAACTCAGCTTCCCAGTGCGCTCACCCTGGCACCGAGCACAAGGAGCCAGACATCTGGGAACCCTGCAGTCACCCTGGGCCCTGGCCCAGCCTCAGCTGCTTTCTGTGACCTCGTCTTGACCCCCCCCCCATCACCCAGCAGAGGGTGCAGATGAGCCCACACTGAATGCTGCAAGGTAGACCTGAGTCTGGGGAAGCTGAGGTCAAAGCCAGGCCCCTGTCCCTCACAGGACGTGAGATGAGGTGATGCCAAGGATGGTGACTAAGGCCCCAAAATCCCTGCCTCTCTGCCTCCCTAGAAACCTTGCAGCCAGGCCAGCCCAAGGGAGCAAAGCCTGTGTAAACACAACTGGGAAGGGAGGAGGGGTTGCTACATATGAAAAACATGAAAATAAAGAGCACCGCTACAGCCTGTGGTGGTCTTCACTGGCCCAAGGTCTCAGCTCAGGAAAGGTGAGTGCTAGTCAATGGCAGGTAACAACAGCAGCAGGGGAACCGAGAGATGGGCTGGGCTGCATTCTGTTTCCTCCTCGCACTGGGCTTTGGGGAAGGAGCTGCTGGTGGGGGGAGGGGCACGCCACCATCCTTTCAGGGCTCTGGTCTCAGAAGCAGCTTCCTTAGTGTCTCCCTGACCCAAGCTTCCAGCTCTCCCTCCTGTTCCTCTCCCTCAAGCCTTGTCATCCTGCCCTCTCTGGAAGGCCTAAGGCATCCGAGGGACCATCCCCCTGCTGACCAGTGGCCCAGGAGGCACCCACATTCAGACTCAGAAAGGACCCTGCTTTCTGCCTCACATCTCGGAGAGTGAGCCATCTCTGCCTTAGCAAACGGGGAACCAGCCCCATTCCCTGAAAGCTGGGCGAACTGGTGGGTTGGGGGGTCACAATGACCCTCCGATTGGCCTGGCCAGGGTGCAGCCGGTGAGGGAGGTTAGGCACCTCCCCAGGGCCTACTGAGCCCATGAGGAACCTGGTGGGGCAAGGGACCCACCGGCGGCCTCCCAGGGTGCCTCTGGCTGCCCCACTGCTGGGTCTGGTTCTGGTTCTGGGCCAAGAGCTGCCAGTCTGCAGAGCTTCCAGCTCTGGCCCCTCCCCTGATGGAGCACTGTCTTCTGCAAAGGGGCCCCTGTCTCTTCCTCCCTCTTCCTTTGCCTCAGGGCACAGGCTGAGAGCTGCACTCTCTCTAACCCACCCCACCTCCTGTGGTGACGGCACGAGCAGGTCCTTGGGCTGTGGAGACTGAGAGTAGGATGGACCCAGGGCAGGCACTTGCTCAGAGGACCTTCAGCTGCACTTATCCTCAGCTGCAAGGGCCCTTCCCAGGCCCCACCCAGCTCCAGGAAGGTTAGAACTTCCCCGCTTTCTCCATCAGAGCATCTCAACGGACCCCCCCCCCAAACACACACACACACACTCCCCGCACATGCTGTCTCTACTCCAGAGATTGCAACTGTGTATTTTGCTGCCGGTATTCGGTTAATTTTTTGAATTGCTCGCCAACGTTTAAAAATCAGGAGAATTCACATAAGAATGTGGAGTTCTGGCTTCTGGAACATCAGGTGACCTACCTCAGGGCCCCACTGTGAGAAAAGCAGAGTAGCAGCAGCCCCTCTAGTGGGGTCCAGCCTTCTTAGTTGGCCTCAGTGCCCTCATCCCGGCAGCCCTCCTTGTAATTACCTGCCTGGCCTCTGTAGGCATCTGAGTATCCTACCTAGTTTGAACTGTCTCTTATCCAGGCTCCAAGCACTTCCATAGCCTTACTGACAGCTGGCCGTGGCCTAGCCTCTCAGTAAAAACTTATGTTCACCTCATCCAGCTACCTTTCCGGAACTTGAATCCTCTGTCCAGCTTCTTGACAAGCAGCCGTCTAATCTTTGCTTGACTACCTCCTGCAGCAGGGAGCTCACCACCCCCCAAGGTAACTCCATCCTCAACTCTTCCCCCAACCCTTGCTCACATACAGCATCAGCTCTCAGGTTCTGTCTGTCCATGGCTACATGGTGCCCTTGCCCTACACCACCTTTTTGCCTGAGCCTCCTTGCCTGAGCCCTGACAACCTCACCACAGGTCCTCACTTCCCCACCAGGTATCTTAGCCTGACAGCAGACTGCATGACTCCAGCCATTCAGGTTCTGCCCTGCCAGGGCCCTGACAAGGTGCCACACGTGACAGAGCTGAGCATCACTGCAGCCCTCAAGCTGGGCTGCTCACCAGGGAGGCCTGCCAAGCACCCTGGGCTGCTCTTGATGTTGCCCAGTGAGGGACGCTCACCCCACCCCCAGCTCCTGGTCCTGTGCCCTACTCTGTCCAGTCCCTGCAGTCATGCAGCCCTGGGCCCCGTGCAAAGCCCAGCTCCTTTAGAGCGTTCCCTGGGCTACAGCACTGGGCAGAGCTGAGTCTGAGGCAAGTACAGAGCCAGTAGGCAGTTTGAGGCCTGGGGATAGCTTTACCCAGGGGTTCTTCCCCGGGCATTCATGAAACCTGTCCCTAGCATGAGGCTGAGCCAGTAGGTGGTGCCAGCCCCAGCGGTGCCTGCATGGGCCCCTGGGGCTGTCCTGGGTCAGGGGCTCCTGTTCCCAGGGCAGATGTGGCCAAGCATCTGATTTATGGCTGATACAGGCCCTTCCCACAGATTGCTACCCTGCTTCCCTTTCCCTGCCAAGGCAGGCAGACTGAAAACCATCTCCATGCCTTCTCCCCACCCAACCAAGTCTCAGACCTGGTGGGGCCGGGAGGTGTCTCATAGATCAGATGGACTCAAATCCCAGAGAGTCCAGGGACAGGGCACCAGCAGAGCCAACAGCCCCTTCAACCAGCCCAGGCCCGTGGACCACCTAGCACTGGTCTTTTGGCCATTGACAGATGCAATAGTTTTACATTTTTCCCAAATACACATCAGTTGTGGAGTTAAAAACTCCAAACAAAATACTAACCGCCTGTAGGCCCAAAGCTGGGGAGCGTGGCTCAGTGTGGGAGGGTGCAGCTTGGGCAGCTGAGGTGGAACACACATTTCCTGCTGCCCCTCACCCTGATCCCCTCCCCACCCAAGTGAGGCTGGTCTGGCTTTTGGGGCCTGGCCCCCAGGAGCAGGGTGAATGGGGCACTGCCACCACCTCACACCCGGATCTGGTACCCATTGAGGTCTGGCATGGCTTTGGGCTCAGACGGCTTCTTCTCCCCGGATGGCCTGCAGGGAGGGAGAGAGCAGAATGGGGTGAGTGGTCATCAGCTGAGGGACGCTGAGAGGAGGGATCAAGTGGTGGTTTCCCCTGGTGGCCTCCCCCCTCCATGTTCCTTGGGGCCTCACACACAGCAGCAGAGTGAGTAAGAGTGGCAACCTCCACCCACCTATGCTTTCCTGAACATGGCCCGGCCCGGGCTCTCTCTCTTCCTGTCTCTTACTCTTTGCTGGAGGTCAGCTAACCTGCCCAGGTTTGGCTGATAACAGCTAACAGTGTAAATTTAAGAAGAGATCAAAGTGAGTGCTGATGGGTATGCTAGTGCCAGAGGCCTGCTTGGACCCCTTAGTTCATAGAGGGAGGTGGCTCCTGAATGACAATTACATTGAAAGCAAGAGCCAGACTGAGATGTGGAACACGATCAGAGGAGGGAGCCTAGCATTTCAATGGCATGTTTTTGCCATCTAAAAAAATAATCAAATTCCTGCTATTGAGTCGATTGCTACTCATAGCGACCCCCATTGGGTTTCTAAGGCTATAAATCTTTATGGAAACAAACCCCATCTTCCATGAAGTGGCTAGTGGTTCAAACCACTAACCTTTGGGTTAGCAGCCAAATGCCTTAACCACTACACCACCAGCACTCCTTTCTGCCATCTAAATCCAGGCAGAACCCAGAGTCTTGGGGGCTAAAGTTCTGTACAAAGCCATCCACCCAGCTGTCCATCCGATGTTCAGACCCTCACCACCACTGGGGAGAACTCACGCCTCATGGGCAGTTCCTTCCACCCTCCCTCCCATATAATCCATTCTCCCACTTGCTTGGGCTCTTCTCTGAGCCTTGCTGGTCCCCCACAGGGTGGCCAGTGGGGCCAGCCGAGTTGCATTTCCTCCAGAAAATGACACTGCATTGCTGCTGGGAGATGTCAACACACAAAACACATGAACCCACCGTTCCAATTCACCTCCCTTGGGCGGGGACAAGAAAGAGAGAGAGTGAGAGCAAGGAGAAGAGAGGGGTAAAAAAAAAAAAAGACAGGTCCAAAAGATAAGAGGAATAAGAAATGGTTTCTTCATGCCACCAGGGTAAGAGCCCGTCTCCTCACCGTCTTTCTCCACGACTATTTCTGCGATGGGGACTGGATTGGCCCCGCTGCGGGGAGGACACATCCTTCTTACGGTCCTTGGTGGGCGAGGGAGGGCCAGTCCCTTTGCCAATCTTGGAAGGAGGAAGAAATAAAGAGTGTCACTTCAGGGCTGCCCCAGAGCCAGTCTGCCTGCAGGAGGCCACAAAGCCCTGCAGAGACTAACTACCCTGGGAATCCTCTGGCAACAGAAAATACCTCAGGCAGCCCCTTCTCTGGGTCTCTCCAGTCCTGCTGCCCAGGTACTAAAGCTGCCAGGGCAAGGGGTCTGTGGTAGTTAAGATGTGGGTAAACTTGGCTGGGCCTGGTTTTGAGGGGCTGGGCAGCTGGATGTAGTTATTCCCCATGATGAGACTGGTAATCAACTCCATGGTGGAATCTACTGAAGCAGCTGAGTAGCTGCGTTAGGGAGGTGGTCTGCTTCCTGTATTTAAGAAGTTTTGAGGAAGGTCTCTAGCTTTTGGCATGCTTGAATCGTGCATGTAGCCCATTGTTCGTTGTTGTTGTTATGTGCCGTCGAGTCGGCCCCGACTCATAGCGACCCCTCCTTGGGTTTCCGAGGCAGTATCACTATGGAAGTAGGATTGCCCAACCTTCCTTCCGAGGAGTGGCTGGTGGGTTTGAACCGCCAACCTTCTGGTTAGCAGTCAAGTGCTTTAGCCACTATGCTACCAGAGCTCCTATGTTCGGCAGCCTGCTATGTTATCTACCAATACTGGGACTGTTAATGGACTTGAATTAGTGGACTGCCATATGGTTTGATAATCTTGGGACTGTGTCATTTTACTTGGTGACCTTGGACTTGTTAGCCTCAGTGATCAGCAGCTGCCTGAGTGAAGGATGCCTTCAGCTCCAGTAGTCTGGGAGCAAGAGGCAGAGCTGGAAGCCCAATGTCAAGGGGCCTTCACCCAGCCCCTAGAGCTGGCACTTTGAACCAGACTTGTAGCCTCCTAAACAGTAAGAGATTAAATCCCTGTTTGTCAAAGCTACCCATTTGTGGTATTTTCTGTTAGAGCAGCACTAGAGGTAACGAGAACAGGGTCCTTAGCAGCGGGGCCCAAACCCCACAGGCCTCCGATGGTACCAATGGGAGTAGGGGGAGCCACTGAGCTTACATATTATAAGGAGTCGGCCCGGAAAGCTCTGTCCACCCGTGCTGGGTAAACGTGCCAGCGGAGGACAGCAATCTCTGAGTTTTGGGCTGGGATCCTACCAACCCAAGGGGAACACTGGTTATTTCCTGCTAGTCAGAGCTCAAACTAGCAGTTACGTCTCTGATTAAGAAAAAATGATAAAAAGAAATGAATCGTCCTTTATGTGGCACATTTTGCGTGATCTGACTTTTCAAAATAGGACCCCACCACCTCTGCCACCCCCCTCAATCCTCACACCCCTCTGCTGGGGCGGGGACAGGTGGGGAGAAGGTAGCTTTCTCTCCAGGTGGCTTCCCCTTTGGGCACCTGCCAGGATAGCCCTTCCACTTCCACAACCCAGAGCCCTAGGGCCGTGGGGTGCGGGGGCTTGACGGTGTGCAGGGGAGGGGGCCCACTGACCTTGAGCCGCATGTCCCGGGCGTGCCGTTCCAGCTCCTTGCGGAAGTCCTCGCGGCCCAGCCGCTCCACGTCCAGCACCGAGTGCTTCCACTCGATCTGCTCCACACTGTGCGGGTCGTGGGACACGCACTGGCCCAGCTTCACCTTCTTGAGTACGTGCCAGCAGCGGCCGTAGGCGGCCTCGTAGTCCAGCACGAGCTCGCTGAGCGTGCGGAACGCGGGCGCCTTGTACATCAGGTCCTCCCGCCGGCTCATGCCCAGGGCCCCGTAGCGGCCCCCGAAGTTCACCCCCAGCACAATGTGGCGGAAGTAGTTCCCTGAGAAGTAGGTCTTGAAGCTGATGGGGAAGCGTTCCAGGGTGGGCATGCTGTTGGTGAGGTAACTGGTCGAGCTAAGGAAACAGCCAGGGACAGGAACAGCAGGCGCCAGCGCACACCACCAGCAGTGGGACGACCTCCCACCGCGGGAGACACGGGCACCCAAGGGCCCCTAGACCACAGATAGCCAGTCGGAAGCTAGCACCTGAGTGCAACACCCCCCTTACTCAGCTCCATACTCCTGTCCTCCAACACTGAGCCTAGCTCTGGTGGTGTAGTGGTTAAAGCATTAGGTCGTGGTTCAAACCCACCAGTGAAGAAAGATGAGGCAGTCGATTTCCATAAAGATTTATAGCCTTGGAAACCCAATGGGGATAGCTCTGAGCTGGAATCCACCAGATGGCAGTGAGTTTGGGTTTGTTTTTTGAGCCTGGAAGACAGTAGGTGCTCAATAAACATGGGCCCAAATGAATCTCTATGGGAATAGGGCTCTTTGCTGTCTGACCCACAAAGTAGTAACAGCTAACAATGTTTCCTCAGCTCCAAATTGCAGGCCTTTCCAGAAATCCTTGTGGCTGAAGAAGGATGGAGAGGGCCCCAGCACCCCAGTTGTGCCTCCTCTCTCCCTACCTCCCTTCCTCCCTCTGTCTCTCCCTCTCCCTCCTCATCAGTCACACACACTTCTCCTCACCCATACACTCCCTCTCAGACACATTCACTCTCTCACATGCATTCCCTCACAGATGCACACAGAATTTTGTTCCGTCTCACTTTCTCTCCCTCCTCCCCCCTACACTGCCCACTGCTTTTCAGATAAATCCAAACTAGTTCCCATGGACCAGCTACACACTCCAAGCTCTTATACCGCTCACCCTACCTGCTCACCCCCTCCCCAGCCTCCCTGGGTTCCCCAGCTGAGGGCCTCTGCCTGTCCCCCTGCCCGGCTGTCCTCAGCCAGCTTCTTCTCAGGCCTTGAGCTTAGCCACCATCGTCATTTCCCTTTCCAAAGCAAGTCTGCCCTGTTATTTATTTCCTCTGAGACACACACCACACTCTGTAGTTCCTCTATCTTTGTTTACATGTTTATTGTCTTGTCTTGATTTGTGTTTACATGTTTATTGTCTTGTCTCTTCCATCAGAATGTAAACTCCTCAAGGAAGTGTTCTTTGCACTGAGCTAGGCACATAATAGTTACTCAATAAAACTGTCCTTGAATGTTCTTGTAGGTAGAAGGAGATGAATGGATAAAAGCAGTGAGTAGACACATTGTCGCAGACACTGTGCCAAGTGTTCCACATACATTAACTGGTTTAATTGTCTCACAGCTTTGTGAGACAGGTACTGTTATTCTCCTCATTCCCAGAGGAGGAAACTAAAGCTAAGAGATGTTAAGGAACTTGCCCAAGGGCACATAGTAAAATGGCAGAACCAGGATTCAAGTCCAGGTCAGCCTGGCCCCAAGTCTGCGCTGTCACTACTCATGGTCCCTCCAGTGCTAAACTCATTGCATCCCCCAATCCTCAGCCCCTCACTCCTTGAAAGTGCCTGAAATGAATGAGGTGTAGCCCCTGCCCTGCAGAGGCTCACAGGGCAGTGGGACAAACTCAGTACAACGCCTGCTGGGTGTGCAGTGACTGAGGCAAGCTGAGGGGGTGGGGGACACAGGGGAGGGCCCCCCACCCAGATGGAGGCTGCTCCTGATTTCTTCCTGCCCCACAAGCTACCAGGCAGCCCTTTAAAGGCCTCTGGGACCACTGGTCCTGCCTGGACCAGCTTCTGGAGAGAAGAGGACAGAGTCTCCCTGCTACAACTGTGGGTAGGAGGCTGTCCTTAGTGCAGGCCCTCAGCGTGGCCCTTGAAGGAGGACGGAATGAGAAGTTATCTGGGAGGCACTGGTCACAGCCTGTAGTTCTTGGGTTACCTCATGCTCAACCCAGCAAAGACCTCTGGAGCCGAGGCAATGCTTACCAGGCCAAATGAAAATAGTCCTGCACCCTGTTAGCTAATAATCTCCCTTGGTAGAGCTAGTGCTTGGGACCTCTGGGGGAAAGGAGCAGCCCCTTGCAGCCTCCAGCCCCTTTATATAAACTTGAGATATGTACAGTCCCTGGATAGTGCAAGCAGTTAACATGCTTAGCTGCTAACCAAACGGTTAAAGGTTCAAATCCACCCCGAGGCACCTGGTGATCTAATTTCAAAAAATCAGCCATTGAAACTTCATGGAGCAGAATTCTTCTCAGACACACAAAGGGTCACCATGTGTTGGAATCAACTTTGCAATTGCAAAGAATCCTAACTGTTTGTTGTGAATGTCTTTGTGGGGGTAAGGGAAGTGATCACAGTCCTCCTCAGGAGCTGTGCTGTCATGTTTGACCATCATCTCCCCCCCACTTAGGGAACGGACTCCTTTGTGTTCTGTTAGGCACACCCTTCCTTTCTCAGGGCCTCACTTAATCCATATTCCTCTGCAACAATGAGCCTATACCAGGAATGACAGTCAAGAAGTTTAAAAACCCATAGGTAATACAGGAACCCATAGGGTAGAGGTGAAACGAGGCTGGCCTCAAGCTGGTCATTGCTGAAGGCGAGTAACGGGCACATCGGAGGGCATTAAATTATTCAGTCTACATTTGTATAAGTTTAAAGTTTTCTATAGTAAACAACAACAACATAGTAAAAAGCTTTTTTGACAAAGGTAAGGCATTGGCCAATTAAGACCGTAAACAGCTGGGAGTCCTGCCTTGCCTCCCGCCCCCCTGCTCTGAGGTGGAGCATCTGGCAGGTGGCCTCGCCTGGGGGCTCGTCTGTCCTGACCTACCCTGGTGCCCCAGCTTCTGCCTCAGTTCTGCCCTTTCAGTGGGAGTGACCAAGAAACCCATTTTCTTCTGAGGCAGTTCTGTTTCAAAGACCCCATCTCCACAAATCAACATGTCCTGGAACTATGTCTCCCAGACAGTTTGGTTCTTGGAAATGGCCCGACAGCCTTTGTGAGAGAGTGTGCCCTGATTTGGGGTTTGGAGAACAAGGTCACAGTGTCTGTGGGACTCACAGAAGGGCTGCTGAGCACAGGAAATGCCTGCCTCCCCTCCTTTCTCCGCCCCTCCCCCTCGGGAATCTCCCCCTCCTGGGGACCAAGTGGATGACAAGGCTTGAGAGAGGGCTGGGGCGCCCAGAGCTCATTCAGCCCTCTCCCCCTACCAGAGGAGGCTCAGTGGCTAGTCCTCCCAACACTCAACACACAGCCCAGCGCCTGGAGGAACTCGCTCCCTCCCGGGCCTCCCAGAGCCAAGGATACATTCCCAGGATCACAGCTTCCAGGCATTTGATTGGCAGAGCCTCTTTGGTCATTTCCTTGGCCAGGTCCATCAGCCTGTAGCAAAGGAGGAGAGTCCTCAGTGGGCAGGGTCAGAATGAGGGAGCAGGAAGAACAGACACCCCCATTCTAAGTTGCTGCTGCAGGCCCCAGCACCTCCCCCTTCACCCAGCCTGGAGGTGAGGGGGTTGGGGACAGAGACAGTTCCCGGTGATAAGGAAGGAGGCCATTTGCCCTCCCTCCCCTCCTTTCACTTCCTCCCTCTCCAGACTCCAGCTCTGGAGACCTGGGGGAGGAGAGTAGAATGGGGGATATGCAGTCACAAGCAGGACCTTGATAGGCTGGGTCATGATGGTGGGGGGTGACAAGTGGGTGTGGGGGGAGCATGCCAAAGATGTTGGGCCTTTGGCATTGACCTCTTTCCTTTGGGAGCCCAGTGGACAGCCCTCATCCTGACCCAACCATGGCTTCTCCGAAGAGCTTGTAATTGATTACAACTGCTCCCCCAAAGCTGGTCAGCTGCCGCAAGCCTGCACGTGGGATATCCGGCAGACAGCCACCAGCAACTCTCCAGCCTGTTTCTGAACTTGGAATTCAGGGCTGTTGAGGACAGCCTATCCCTGACGCCCAATTCCTTCCTCCTCTTGAGTGCTGTCCCATCCACCACTTCCCCTAGCAACTCACAGTGGCTTTGCAGAGCACACAACCACCACAGGACAACCGGCAGGAAGCACTGGGGACAGAAGGTAGCTGCCACCAGGGGCTTGGAGAGGGGCAATTAGCTAATTTAGCTAATAAGCCAGGTAAAGCATTTTCACAAGAAAACAAACACAGACCGATCATGTGCAGAGCAAGCCATGTAAGAGTCACCCAGAGCGGCATAAACTCCTCCCTCTCCTCTGTCCTCAGAGCTCACAGACATATCTGAGAGCACATAGACCCAGCAGGGGTATCCATGGGTGGTGGGGCAGGAAGGGAGGTGCAATGCTCTGGGGTTCCTGTTGCCTTGTGCCCAATGACAGAGAAGAGCCAGAAAAGCAAGTGGGTGGCTGCCCTGGTTCCTGCAATGGGGGGAGGGTTTTTTTTCCACAGATGGCTGTAGGGAAGAGGGAGAGAAAGGTGTAAGGGCTCCGTCCTGTTACGACCACCTCTCAAAAAAAGAAGACCCAAGGCCCAACACGGAAAGAGCTGGGCTCCACACGCCAGAGATGCTGGGCCTTTGGCATCGACCTCTTTCCTCTGGGAGCCCAGACTCCTCTGGGAGTCTATACAGACCATCTCCCAGGGACCACCCTCTATGACCCCAGAGTACACTGGTGGGCACCCTTCCACCTCCTAGCTGGGCATGATGGGTATCGGGGATTCCTTCTCTCCAGGTCGCCTTAGCTCTTCACCTCAGCCGGCTTTCCCTCCTTATGGCATCATTAGGGCCTCATGGTGGTGCTGGCCTAGCTGGTGGACCCAGTGGTGCAGGAGGACAGGGCATCCCCACTTACCCTGTCAGAGGTCTGCTCTTCTTAATTTCAAAGAACTGTGTCCCTGTGTGATTGTACCTGCGGGGCAGTTAAGGGCTTCCTGGCTTCAGAAGAGGCTTGTCCTGCCCTTCCCACCTCCACCCAAGGCCCTAGGCCCAGCACACCCAGGGTACGTGCTGGGCACAGGCCCCACAAAGTTCTTCCCACAGGGCACCCTAAAGGCTGCTCAAAATTCTCCTGGAAGGGAGTGGGGAGCATGGCATTTGTGCTTCTCCTTCCCCTACACAGCCCCCTTTTTCTTCTCTCTCATCCTCTTTGGCTTCCACCCTCATCCTCCGTCTCCCTTTCTAAGACAGGAGATAGCAGAGCAGGCAGCCTGCCCAGCAGGCCTGGGAGAAGAGGCGCCAGCTGCCGCCAGCTCTCCACAGCTCTCCATCTTGCAACCAGCTGAGAAGTAATATGAACTGAGGGAAGACTCAGTGAGAATTCACCCCATCCTCTAGATGCTGGGCACTCCTGAGCCAATCACCTCCTTTCTCTGGACCACAATTTTCCCATTGGCAAAGGGAGGGGCTGGACCCAATTTTCAGTCATGAGCCTGACTTTTCTCTTCTTCAGGACCCAGGCCTGGTCCCTGTCTGACCTCATCTGAAGCCAGGAGGGGTTTGGGAGAGAACCCAGGACACACAGCTCTAGGCAGGGGGCAGGGCTTTGGATAGGCCCAGACCAGGGACACCGAGGAACTGGGGGCCAAATGGAGCCCAGCTCTTTCCATGTTGGGCAGCCAGTCTCCTGCCAAGGTAGAAAATGGAGAGGAAATTCCAAGATGTGGAAGTTACCTCCTAGAACATAGAATTGTTTTCTGCCCCATTTTCCCCCATCTTTAAAGCTAGTTAAGACAGCCCTCAAGGCAGTTTCTCCCTTCTCTCTGCTGGGGCTAGTGTGGAGGAGGAGGTCTGGGGAGGCTGATCTGGGGCGGGCCATTTCACCACCCAGTCACACAGGAGGCATTCATTCCCGTCTTTTCCCCATCCAACAGCAGGAGGAGAAAGCAGGGGGCAGAAAGACTGAGTGGGCCCAGTGCTCATTAGACAAAATCCCCCTCATACTCAGGGTGGACCTGGGCTGGGGACCGCAGGGCTCTGGGGGCACACAGGCTGTACCCCCTGGGGTTGTGGAACGAGTTGGCTCTGCTGACAGCTCTCCAGCCCTTTCTGAAGAGATCCCACTCTGCCTTTGGCCAAGCAGGCCATGGCTGTGACCCTTGCCAGGTGCCTTTGGCCAAGCAGGCCATGGCTGTGACCCTTGCCGGGTGTCCTTGGCCAAGCAGGCCATGGCTGTGACCCTTGCCGGGGAGGATACTGCAGCTCCCTGATGTAGCGCTGCACAGCTTCCAGGCGCTCAGGGACAGGCGTGGATGGCTGGAATGTAGGCACACTCGGTATGGGAATCTGGGGACAGAGAAGAGCTTGGTCACATAGGCTCACCCTGGAGCATCCAGGCCACTGGACACTCAGGATCAGCCTCTGGAGAAGCCATAGCCAAGGGAGGACCCCTTTTCTTGGAGACTCTCCTTCCTGCGACCCATCAGGCCCCATCATAGCCATTGTCTCCCCGCTAGCACTTGGTCCGTTTTCCTGGAGTCCATTCTAACTCACAGCAACCCTAGATGACAAAGCAGAACTACCCCACAGGGTTCCCAGGCTGTAATCTTTACAGAAGCAGACCGCCCCATCTTTATCCCGCGGAGCAGCTGGTGGGTTGGAACTGTCAGCCTTTTGGTTAGCAGCTAACACTTAACCACTGCGCACTGACAGCATTCCTAATCTGGAACTTATGTTGATGTTCCAGTTTTACACTTAATAACTTTAGAAAAACACAGGTTGACTCACTGGCTGTTTTGAATTTTAAATACTCATTAACTTCAAGGCTTAACAAGAATGCCAATAGTAAGGTTAAGTTCATTTAGGTTTGGGATTCACTCTGGTTCAAGGGCTGGATAGCAACTGGTCCTCTCAGGGCCCTGCCCAGGGCTGGGGGACAGCTTCCAGGAGGGGTGGGTATAGCCTCAGCAGGATGACGTCATCCATCTCAGTATCAGGAGCACATTTCCCTGGCCTTTCGGAGCCTCAACCTGAACTGCCAACGAGTAAGTCAGTGGCAGTGGGCCCAGGTGCCGGATTTTGGGACAGGTCTTCTTGGGCTCCCATTTGCTCAGGCCTAGCCCTTCGGATGGGTTTCATGGAGCCACAGGGCCTCGGATTCTCCTTCAACGTCTCGCCTTCCTGCTACCTCCGCTGCCAAGCAGCATGGGTCAGAGGGCAGTCCTCCTCCCCAGGACTTTCCAGCACCTGCCCAGAGGGAAAGGAGGGATCAATCAGGCAGGTAGGTGCCTCCTGATGGTTGGTGACTGACAGCTGTGAGCTGTTGGATTGACCAGGAATGAATCAGGCGGCCAGCGCACCCTCAAGGCTGCCCCTCCACAGCCAGGCCATCTCCAGGAAAGAGTCCATCTGCAGGTGCGGGTCCCAGGTTGCAGGCTCCCCCTCCAGCCAGTTTGGCTTCAATGAGTCAGTGAGCCCAGGGAGGTGAAGCCAGGCATCCATCAGGGGGCCTTTGAGGTTCTAGAATGGCCTTCTTTGAGTAGAACTAGACTTCCAGGGATAAAGCCTACACCCCTGGGCTCCCCCTTGGCCACCAGGATAGCCAACTGGGAGGTGGCCTCACACAGGGAGGCCCCACTCCCTACTAGGCTGCCCCAGCAGGGCCCCCCACCAGGTGGCCCAGGTCACAGGCAGTCAACCTAGCTGAGGCTGCTGGGAGTGTTCTATTGCAAGTGGAGAGGTACATGTGCAGGAAAGGAGCAAAGGAGGGGCATTTGAAACTTGGGGGTAGGGCTGGGAGTCGGGGAGGGAAGTACGGAGCATTTTCCAGTGTTCCTCTGGGAGGCTGCCCCAGTGGTGGAGACACCGAGCCCATAAGGCCCCACCCCCAGCCTTTTAAATAATGTGGCTGCAGTGGCTGGGGTGCTGACAAGGAGGGAAATGACATGCTCATTATCATGGCATACTTGTGCCTAGGGTGCCACTGATGGTGGGGGTGGACAGGACAACCTCTAACAGAGACCTGCTCCCTGAAAGGGGACCTTGTCTAGGACAACAGCTTTGTAAGAAGTCCCTCTATCTTTCTCCCACCTTCACAATTCCCTCCTTCCTGTCTGGGCAGTCCCCAGCTTCACAGTGGGGCAGCTATTTCCTTTTTCATATTACCCCCAAGCCCCAAACTGGTACCACCACTTACAGTCACCAGGGGGACAAAGCCCAGGGACAGACTGGTTTGGGGGTCTCTTCCTCTTCTTCTTGCCTGACTGCCCAGTGTTAAATGACTCCTGAACTCTCCAAGGGCTTGGCCTTGCCTCTCTAGTGTCAAGGATATGGGGGTGGGGGGATGTGGGAGAGGAATTATTTATCAATTTACTATAAACAACATCACAATCAATTCAGTGACCTAATCTCCCCAGCTAGGAATCCCTGCAAGGCAGGGGGAGCAGGGAGTGGGGTGGGTCACCCCCACTTTTCAAGTTAGGGGATCCAGGGACCTCTATGAGCTTCAAATAAAATCTGTAAGCATACTTTTCGCTGAACAACTTTAAACAAGGAGGGAGCTGGAGTCCCAGAATCCTGTGGGTAATCTCACCTGAGCCAGCCATGGGGCAAGCCCCCAAAGAACCCAAGAGGCATCAATACCTGCCCTCCAGACAGACCCCAGGGAAAGGCTGCTTGGGGAGAGGACATGGCCCTGCAAGAGTCAATAAAGGCCTGGGATTCCCAAGCAGGGACGTAAAGGCAACCACCACCAAGGCAGAGCTGGAAAAAGTCCTGCTGACTTCTGAGGGTGTTGTTCATTTGAACCCACTAGAGACAGCACCTACACCTTTTCCTGAATATTTGTGACAAGCACAGACTCATTCACTCAAACACAAATAATCAGACTCTACGCTCAAATGACCAGGCCTACTTTAGGGCTCATAGCCTGGATTTGCCTCCATCCTCTGAACAGAGCCAAGAAACATTTCCTCATTGTTGATGGCGGGGTAGGTGGGGTACAATGGGGATGTTGTTGTTGTTGTTAAGTGCCGTCGAGTCGGCCCCGACTCATAGCAACCCCTCCTTGGGTTTCCGAGGCAGTATCACTACGGAAGTAGGATTGCCCAACCTTCCTTCCAAGGAGTGGCTGGTGGGTTTGAACCGCCAGCCTTGTGGTTAGCAGTCAAGTGCTTTAGCCACTATGCTACCAGAGCTCCTACAATGGGGATAGGTGATACCTTCTACTCAGATCTTTTCAGGGACAACAACTCCACTACTAAAGGCCAAGAGTTCCTCATGTTCATTCTACCCATTGCTATAGAGCCAATTCTAACTCATGGTGACCCCATGAGTGTCAAAGCAAAACCATGCTCCATATGGTTTTGAGGGCTGATTTTTCAGAAGCTGATCACCAGGCTTTTCTTCCGAGATGCTTGTGGGTGGGCTCGAGCCTCCGACCTTTTGGCTAGCTGTTGAGCATGGTAACCATTTGTACCACCTACAGACTTACGTTCATTCTACTCGTTACCATTGAGTCAATTCTGACTTGTAGTGACCCTGTAGCATAGAGTAGACCTGCCCCATAGGGTTTCCAAGGCTGTAAATCTTTACAGAAGTAGGTTGCCAGATCTTTCTCTTGCAGAGTGGCTGGTGAGTTCAAACTGTGGACCTTTTGGTTACCAGCTGAATGCTTAACCACTACTACATAGGGCTCCTATGTTCATTCTGCAGCAGCCTTTGCCGTGGAGTCAGACCCGACCCATAGCGACCCCTCCTTGGGTTTCCAAGGCAGTATCACTATGAAGTAGATTGCCCAACCTTCCTTCCGGGGAGTGGCTGGTGGGTTTGAACAGCCACCCTTCCAGTTAGCAGTCAAGTGCCTTAGGCACTATGCTATCAGAGCTCCCATGTTCATTCTAGGAACCCCTTAAAGTCCTGAGTTCTGACATCCCCACTGGAGGGTCTTGTCTAGCACAATATGAAGCCTGGGGAAAGTGGGAGGAGCCTGGAGCAGACAGTGTGGGGAAGAAGCAGGGAGGTGGCCTTCCGGTTCCTCACACAGGGAGGGCCCCGCCCCTACTAGGCTGTCCCACCAGGGCCCCCACCAGGCGGCCCAGGTCACAGGAGTCAACCCAGCTGAGGCTGCTGGGAGTATCCTATCACAGGTAGAGGGGTACATGAGAAAGGAAGCCTGGAGGTTAATAGATTCTAGAATTAGACTGTCAGTATCGAAATCCCAACTCTGTCATTTACTAATTGATGACCTTAGTCAAACTCCTTAACTTCTCTGTGCCTCAGATGCCTTGTTTGTAAAATGGTCACAGAGACAGAAGCAGCCTCACAGCATGAAAGAGATACTGCAAGCAAGGGCTGTTAACAGGGCCTGGCACATGGCTCAATTCTTGCTCACTGTCTTTGTTATTTGGGCACTCCGATGGCGTGGTGGATAAGCCATCTAGCTGCTAACCAGAAGGTTAGTGGTTCAAACCTACCAGCCACTCCACTGAAGGAAGATGGGGTGATCTCCTTCTGTAAAGATTTATAGTCTCGGAAACCCAATGGGGGTCGCTATGAATCGGAATCAATTTGACGGCAATGAGTTTGGTTTTTTGGTTTGGTCTTTGTTAGTACAGTGTCTGGCAAAGATTTTGGTCAGCATATGTTGACACCAACAATGTAAACTTTTGGGAGATGTTTAATTTGCATTCTGCAGGAGCTTGGCCACAGCACCACAGCTAAAAGATCTTCAGCAGCTGTGTCTGGGATAACTGATCACAAAGCCATATTTAGGAGCTCTGGTGGTATAGTGCCTAAGGCACTTGACTGCTAACCAGAAGGCTGGCAGTTCAAACCCACCAGCCACTCCTCGGAAGGAAGGTTGGGCAATCTACTTCTGTAGTGACACTGCCTTGGAAACCCAATGGGGGTCGCTATGAGTCAGGTCTGAGTTGACGGCACATAATAACAACAACAACAAGAAGCCATATTTGGTAAAGTAGAAAGTCAGCAAAAACAAGGGAAACCCCACCCCCTAAAAGCTAAACATCTCTGTGCATCAAAAGACTTCACCAACAAAGTGAAAAGAGAACCTACAGACTGGGAAAAAGAATTTGGCAATGACACATCAGACAAGGGTCTAATCTCTAAACTTTATAGAAAACTTCAACACATCAACATCAAAAAAACAAACAATCCAACTAAAAAATGGGCAGAGACTTGAATAGGCACTTCAAAGAAGATATTCAGGCGGCCAATAAACACATGAAGAAATGCTCACAATCACGAGCCCTTAGAGAGTCGAAACGAGATACCATCTCACTCCAGCAAAGTTCAAAAAAACAGAAAATAACAAATGCTGGTGAGGG